GGGGGGCAGGGGGGCAGCTGCCCCCCCTGGGATTTGAGGTGCAAATATGGCAAAATGGCAATATGAACCCACATTTTTTGACTTCTGATTGAGCAATAAATAACAGTTAAAATGCACCAGAATGCAGTATTATACATACAGTTTTTAAAAAAATTTCCACACCCACACCCCCCTCGGGTGCTTCGCCCCCTCGTGTCCGCTTACTGCCCCCCCTGGCATTTTGCTCAGGCTACGGCCCTGAAAACCAACAATCAGCTGCTGATAAAGGGTGGTTGTTACAGTTAAGCCGTGTCTTGGGGAACGACTGATTTTGATTGAAATGACTCTTTCCCCAAAGTTAGTTTGATGGAATCATGTTCAGACATGTCAGATTTGGTTTCAGAATAAAATCAGCACCTTTCTTTTTAATTGAATGTCAAAACCGTAAACAGTTGGAATACGCAATATGCCAAAATAATTATTATCTAAGTATCAAGTTGTTCTATTCGAGAACGTGTATTTCAGACCGAAAGGAAACTGTCCTTTTTAAAACATTTATTTCTCCATGTAAAAGATCTTCATACAGTATTGTGGCAATGCAAGAGGTCAATGTAAAATCGATAACTTTTTTCGGAGAAATGATACAAAAATTGGTTCAATTCAAGTGAATCCCTGTGCATGCCAAAAAGGGTATCTTCATACAGTATTGCGATAGTGCAAAAAGTCTAAACAAAATCCACAGCTTTAACGGAGAAATGATACAAAAATTGATTCAATCCATGTTTATCCCGGCGCATGTGAGATACTGGGACGGTTTGTAGTTGGGGTCCGCTTTCATCAGCTGTCCGCACGTGAAAGTCCCTATGCCCGGGAATTCTCTCTTTCCATTGAGGTCACAGCAGGGGTTACAGCGGATAATTGAACTGAAGGGGTGTGTCTCTTGGACCCTTGAACACTCAGGACCAAGCTCCCCTTTGATGTAGGCAGCTTCGCACGTGATCTCGTAGCGCACGTTGTTCCCTTGCTCGACTAAGCATTGGAACTTCATACAGGTGCAGAAGTCTTCTTGATTGGGGACGGCCCTTTTTGTTCTCACTGAAATGGGAACTGCCTGTGAATATTGGGCCTGTTCAGAACCAGATGATTCGCAGGCTATCAAGTCCGCGGATCAAATATGGCGTTCAATTCATGATGGATTCCAGCCTCCCACGAGCGCCGTTCCTGCCTCGGCAGAGCAATTATATCTCGGCACGCTTTCAAATAGGTCGTGCCATATTTGATCCAAGGACGAGTTCTGAACAGGCCCTTTGTGTACTTGCCGTGCGCAAATTACAGCCGAAGTACAGATGTTATTTGTAATCGGCGTTGGTTTGTTTGTGGACTCGACCAAAAAAGTTTGGAAACGTTTTTATTTTATTTTATTTTATTTTATTTTATTTTATTTATTTATTTTTTTGACTAATTATGAAATAAGCATATGAGCTAATGAATTGTTTTAGCCAAATATTTATGGATAATGCACCCACCATTCGTTATTTTTTATACACACTGAAGATTTCCTCATTTGTCCATTATTGAAAAACAATTTCATGTTTTCCAACTTTTTGGGTTGAGTGCATATATTTATAATATAACAATAAGGTACAGTTTGCTTACTTCTACTAAGTTCTAGATGGTACACGTAATACTTACTCGACTTTATAGGGGGCGGTGCAGCCAAAGCGAGAGAGAAACACATCGCGAGCAGGACGTAAGTGTTCATCTGGAAAGAATTCATATAAAATCAATGGACTGAATCATTGAAGAGAGAGAGAGAGAATGAGAAAGGGTGAGAGAGAGCCCAACATCCTCCCCTTTAATTTCAAAACAAAATACTAAATATAGTCTCCATCCGTCCTCAAAAACACTTTTTTAAATATTCAATTCGTGGCCCACAGGCACTACAAGATACCTTTATCTCTTAATTACATTATTTTCAAAAATAAATAAATAAATAAATAAATAAATAAATAAATAAATAAATAAATAAATAAATAAATACATATTACAAGCATGACAGGTTTTCATCTGAAAAAAAATTTCGTAGAAAATCAATAAACTGAAGCATGGGGGAGCCCAACACCCGCCCCTATTCTAATAAAGAAAAAGGTGGATATTGCCTTCTTCCGTTCTCAAGTAGATAGAAAATCCTTTGTGGCCCAAGTGCCTTCATTTGTCAATTATTCTCAAAATTAATTCATTACTTAGTAAATGGATAAATGTAAATAATGAGAATGCCTTCGAAATTTGACTCCATCTTAACCTCATACATGTGCGACTCCTAGCAGTATGTAGGGCCTATGGTGTGTCATAATAATTCTTCAAGGCCGTTGTGAAAACAATTATGATCCCGTGTACTGAACGTACTAAATCGTAGGAAGCCGGATACTTTTCATCGTAGATTTATTATAATGATATACTATTGGTGTTCATAATCCTTATTTCAAATCTTCTGCAAGACAAGATTTGATATCAACCTATTAAGTTCATAATTAAAAGACGCGTTTTTCAAGCAGATTTTCAGAGAACTTACCTTGAAAATTAGTTAAAGGAAATTTCACAGCCACGTTCGAATATCTTCAACAGTACCCCAGCACGGTTTGAATCTTGGCCTGGCTAAGAAAGTTCGACGTCTTATAAATACCAAACAACAACACCCCGAGATTCTAAGTTTAGTCTATAACTCGCCTCCATTCAACTTGTTGATGAAATAGAAGGGTTTCTGGTTAATTTCGAACCTCGGGGTGATCGAACTGAGGGCTGTATTTGCGTCCAAAATTAAAAGTGTTATCATTTGACTCAAAGGCGCCTGTGTTAAGTATGAATTTTATCATTTTTGGGATTGCAGTAAACTGTTTGCTTAGTCTTGGGCCGATTACCAAGTGGCGGATTAAGAGGTGGGGGGGGGGGGTCAGGGGGGGGGCCTGAC